GGAAAGAGGTAATAGCCATCCTGGTGATTATGAAGAGACAATTCCCTGCTAGGTTGCACTGTGATAGCTACTGTTAACTGCGGCTGTACCTGTACAAGAAAGTGCAGTCATTTTATTGAAATTTGGTATTGTTTTAGCAAAATGTCTGTCAATTTTGGAGCTCAGTTTGGAACACAGCACATTTTTACCCACCTACGGAAATTAATGGTAATTATGCTTTTGACAAAAGCGAAGTCAGGTTTATTTTCAGAAAAGAATTACCCTTTTAAGACAGAGGAAGATGAACTCATTTAATCCTTACAACAACTCTAAGAGGTAGCAACTCTCCATCGTTAAATATTTATTTAGCACTTACTACGTTCAGGTACTCTATGTGTATTAACTAACCTAGTCATTTCAAGAACTCTGGGTGAACACCATTGTCAACCCCTTTAATAATAAGGAAACTGAGGCACAGGGAGATTAAGTAGTCTGGCCAAACTAAAATTAAATGACGAGAATCTGTTTTGTAAAAGAAAGAGTGCCTACTGTAACATTTCTAACAACCCCTACCAATTACTGAGTGCCAAGCAATTTAAATACAGAATCTCATTTAATTATTTCAACAACTCTGTAAAGCAGCTATTCTCACCCTAATTTTACAGATGAGGAAACTGGTGCATACAGAGGAGAAATAACCTGCCCCCCAATCATATGGCTGGTTAGTGACAAAGCTGAGATTTGACTCTGCGGGTATCTAAACCTGTGCTTTTGACCAGGTCAGGGGTCCAGCACGGTAGAATTACAGGTGGGAAGGAGCGATGCCATTTTTGAGCTTAATAAAAGGGAGCATTATTTTTTTTTTAAGGCCACAAATATTTTACTATATTACACAGCTTCCAGTATAGCAAATAACAGAAATAAAGGTAAATAATACGTTGGAAATTGGTCTCTATATCATAGCCAATGGTACAACAACGTAAGAAACACAAGGGAGGTTTTCTAATGCTTTTTATGACTATATTTGTAACACCTAAAAGCAGTTCAAACTGAGATGAAATGCATAGAAAAATTTAGGGCTAACAAATGCCACCCTTTCTCTGCCTTGTTTGTAATACAGTGCGCGTGTGCCCCGCTGTGGCTTCCATTGTACCACAAATGACAGGTTTGTCATTCCCTGTAACGGCTTACTAAGGGAAATTATGGAATTCCTTCTCTGATTCTAAAACAGTTTTTCATCTGATAGGGTGGTTTAATAGTGGTCCTTTTTGAAATTAGATGAATTGACTGGATGACCTTTCCAAGTTTCTCCTAATCCTCAAATATGAGGTAGGTATGCCAATAACACAAACCTTTAAAAAAAAACGTAAAGGAATGTTTGCTAAAATAATAGTCAAGAAATTCGATTCTAGATAGGAGGGTAAGTCACAATGAAAGCTGACATACTGTGTCAAATAGTCTCAGAATACAATATGTTTGAAAGTTCTAGAATGACGTTTTGTGCAATGGAGAAATTTTATGGTTAGAAATAATTTTATTCAAATGTACACAGTTATAACTACCATCAAATAGTGTAAAATATATTCAAAGAATTAACTAGAATGGGTGCTTCAAAAACTATCATAAAATATCACAAGAGCATGATGGTAGTAATAAGATCATGGGAGGAAACTGAACCTTTTATAAGGTCTGTACAGCTTCACATACTCATAACTTTAACATTATAATAATAATGGCAAGAGGACTCTCAGTATTTCCCATGTACCATCATGACAGCAAAACGATTTTCCTGAGTTATCTCATTTGTCCTCATCAACCCTACAAAGTTAATATGTCAATTCCATTTTACCAGGGAGGAAACTCAAACTGAGAAAGGTAGGTTATTTGTCCAAACTCACACAGCCAATAAATACTTGGTCTGGGTTTAAAGTTTAAACCCACCAGTCCCAACGCCAGAACCCAAGCCCTCAATCCCTGTGCCATGCTTCCCCCAGAGGACAAAACTTGTTCCTCACCATCAAGAATAAAGTAGATTTTTAAGATGCTAATATGAAATGGCCAAGAAGGAAGAGAAGCAAAAACCTTTGATTACAACCCACCTTATTTGTGGCTGGTTTCCCCAGTTCCCTTTGGGCTCTCCTACCTACCGTGGGGGGTCCGCAAGTCTAGACGACAGACTGTAAAACTGTGTTCGCATACCCTACATATTCCAACTGTTTTGTTACTCGTGTTGATGGCCATTTCAGAAATTCCTAGGTAGTCTGGCATACTAAATGTCGATCACGATTTTCAGCTCTTAGAAACCCACTGTGTATTATTCTAGCCTCAAGGAAGAATTCAAAAATGTGGTCACTCTTGCTTACATTTTCTCAGGAAACTCAGAGAACAGAGAATCAAAGAAAGCATTTTAAGGTACATGATCTTTTTCTGTCCTCCTCAGCTTTCTCTGCTCGTGACTGATGAGAAGACACCATCCTACAGGCCACCATGTATAAGAACAGAAAGAAATGGAGCTGAGTAACGTACAGCAGTTACCTTACAAATGCTGCTGACTGCCTGACCTTTGCCATCCGTATCTAACGC